GAAATTTAGAAAATGCTAAAAAACTAACAATCCACCCTCTTAAGGACTTCGATATTGGTAGTTCAAGTTTATCCATATTTGTAATTATTGGTAATTATTATTATATTATTCATTGTAATCATAGTTATATTATTCTTTGTATTTTGTATGTCCTCATTATAATTATTGTCAGAAGAAGAAAAACGAAACTGATGTAAAAGTGGGCATAGAATTGAAACCTTTCGAAAATCATCCCCAATTTTCTCAATCTTAGTAAGGGAGGAATTATATGGCCACTTCTGACGACGCATTATTAATTTAAGGAGTTTTTGCAAGCTTTTCGCTTATTCAGCATTTATTATTATATAAATATAGCCTTGCAGCGTTATAGAATTTAGTCTTTAAGTTAGCTTTGTTGTAGCAATATCAATTAATGTAATTTCGTGTTTTAGCACCTAGATGTAAAACATCTGTATGTGCAGCATCGCTAAGCAGTGTTTTTATTTGTATTTGTAGTTTTTATAATTTAAGTGTACATTAAGAATTAAGAGCAAGAGAGAGAAAAAAAAGAAAAATAACAAAGTAACAGTTCACATATTGGTTGGTTTTACAATTTATGAGTCCCACACAAATATGCAGACAACAAAGTCTGCCCTACAAACACCATGGAACACTTAGCTAAAAAACCTTTCAAATTGATGAAGACTCTCATAAATAACATTTTTACTTAAAATTTTAAAACTTCTTATTGAAGAGCAATTTCTTACTTCCTGTGGCAATAGGTTGTACAGTTTAGGGCCAAAATATCTTAGATTAAGATTATTAGTACTTATTGGTAGTTTAATTTGCCTGTCGCACCTCGATCTTGTTTCATAAGTATGATCAGCTAACGTTTTCATGTTAGGTCGAGTGCGTATATAAGAGCTAACTTTGAGAATATATATTGATCGAATGTTAAAAATGTCTCTGTCAAAAAGCAAATGTGTAGGATACAATCTATTTTTTTTGAGAATAATTTTTATTATATATTTTTGTATTATGTTCAATTTGTACAGGCTGTTATTATGAAGTCCACCCCACACCAATATTCCATATCCTATTATCGATTCTACAAAATGCTTTATAAACTATTATAAGCGTTCTTTTATTTAAAAATTCTCTCAATAAATAAAACTTATGAATGAGTTTGCGAATTCTATTGGTTATACAACTCACTGTACATTATTCCCATATGACACGAGAGGCTTAAGAAGTGATAAGCCTTGGGATTATCGCGCTTGGTGGCATTTATAGCAAATTTCTATTATAGAATTTTTTTAAAATTTTGAAATATTAAAGTTTAGTTCGTTGTATAACCTTTTGAATACCACTCGATGTTTCAGGATTACCTAATACTTTTACCTGACACACAACTTATAAGATTGAACCAGTTCTTAATTTTCGCCAAACTATTCACGGTCTTATTCCTTACACTATCCCAGGTATCTCCTGAGACAACCAGAGCCGTATCATCGGCATAAGATACAGTACTCCAAGACAGTTAAAAATTCTTATATGGTGAATTGGGAACAAAATAACATAAAGCTGCGACTAGTCTCAATCGATAGGATTTATGGTTCTGATGAACATACTAAAAGTCCCCAGACCTCCCCCTAGGGGAACATTGTCAAAAAGACGCCGCCATCTTGGATTTTTGACATTTTTTGCTTAATTTACGTTTAACTCAAAAACTACTCATTTTTTGAGAAAATGTGAACAGAGATAAATTAAAGAGCACAAAAAAACCTTTGAAAAAAAATATTTTTGGACTTCCTGGGTACTACCCTTACGGATATAGTAGCCAAAGAAGTACTGGCAAAAAACAATTTTTTGCCTAATTTTCATTTCACTCATAAACCACTCACTTTTTAAGAAATATAAAGAGACCTAAATCGAAGAATTAAATCTGAGGTACATAGGTGACAGCGAACATCCGCGGTAGTACCCTTATCAAGATTGGAGCCAATGGAGTACCACCGACATAGGATTTTTTTATTTTTCTTTTTGAGAGAAAAGCATTAGCAGGAAATTTCAAGAACGTGACTTAAAACATATTTCTGATATGAGTACTCGCGTGCGGAAAGTATCACTTTTCCACACGCGATTACAGTTGGCCGAACGATGCGAAGCGGAGTTCTGCCAAGCAATCAAGTGAGGAAAAGAGACCGATCAATTGGAATGGGCATGGAAAGATGTAAATGAAGAGCTACATCCTATTACAATGGAACAAGAGGTAGCTCCAGAATTTATCTTAAGCATGATTTTTTGTAACTGCAAAACGGGATTCACGAAGCAGTGTAGTTGCAAAAACTCAAGCGTTTTTTGCACAAATTTGTGCGGTTCTTGCCAGGGAAATTCCTGCGAAAATATTCTTCAACAAAGTTCTCCTTCCAACAATACTGAGTTCGATGAAGAAATGTAAATAGGCCAGGTTGTAGTGTATTTACTTTAGTTACTATGTAATTAGGTTAAGAAAGTTTTTTTTTTAACACTGCTTCCGAAAAAGAAGTTTTTCGCACGCTAAGGTACCACTGAAAATTGAGTTGTACAGGGTGTTAATAAATAGTGTGATCAAACTTCTAAGCTAAATAGTACTCATTAAAATAAGAAAAAAGTTAATAGAAACATGGGTCCGCGAATGCTTAGTTTTCAAGATACAGGGTGTCAAAGTTTGAAAAAAAATCGGTTTTTTAGCTCAAAAATCCTCACCCAATTTTTTTTTTCAAATTTGGAAGGTTTGTTTGTGATAACAAAAGGTATCATTTGAGTTTTGACTGTAATATGACTTAATCTGCAAAAATATCAAACTTATAAAAAAATAGTGACATGCCATTTTTTTCTACTTTTACCAACGTAGTTGTCCTCGGGGCGCCACTGGAATAATAACGGTAAATCTAATTGAATCAAAAGATATCTTTTGTCATTATTACAAACAAATCTGCCAAGTTTGAAGAAATTCGGGAAACGGATTTTAAAAAACCGATTTTTTCAAACTTTGACACCCTGTATCTCGAAAACTAAGCATTTGCGGGTCTATGTTTCTATCAACTTTTTTCTTACCTACTTTAATGAGTACTATTTATTTTAGAAGTTTGATCCCATTATTTATTAACACCCTGTATATGTATATTCTCTATATTTACTTGACACAGACACAAAAGTAATGTTGTCAATTTTTGTCAAATTGTTTACGTTTTTTTATCTATGTGAAATTATTAGTTATTTCCATCAAAATACAATTTTGGGTGCCTTATTTTGCAGTTGTAGAAGAAGCGTTGTAAAAAACTTGTTTAAACTGTCTCGGCCGTGCAAAAAAAGTAGTTTTCAAAATTTGCTGTTTAAATAACTATTGTTGTTATATGTTTGTACCTATATCATAACAGAGTAAACAAGTTTCTATGTGTATATGTGGTATATAGGTAGAATACACGTTAGTAATATTATGTTTCGTTGATCGAATTTGTTGTATAAAACAATAAAATTTTCATAAAAGTGTAACGGAAAAGCTATTCTGAAGCGTTCAAAATGGATTTATATCAGATTTCCTACAAAACGCAACAACGTTCAAGTTATATTAGCTTGCATGTGGAAAGCGGTATTTCGGCGGTACTTCTTTAGCTCCTATCTCAGTAAGGGCAGTACCCAGGAAGTTCAAAGATAACTATTTTCAAAGGTTTTTTTATGTTCTCCAATTCATTCCTCTTCATATTTTTTCGCAAAATGAGTAGTTTCCGAGTAAAACGTAAATTAAGCAAAAAATGTCAAAAATCCAAGATGGCGGCGCCATTTTGACTATGTTCCCCTAGGGGGAGGTCTGGGAACTTTTAGTATGTTCATCAGGACCATAAATCCTATCGATTTAGACTAGTCGCAGCTTTATGTTATTTTGTTCCCAATAAAATTATAACTGTCTTGGGGTACAGTTACGCCCTCGACCTGCAACCTCAATAATGAGTTGATGTATGCTATGAAAAGTACTGGTCCCAAGACCGTGCCTTGTGGAATGCCAATTTTTATTTTTTGTTTATTACTCAAGGTGTTAGGTGTTATTTAACTTGACCATTTGAAGTCGCTCTGACAAATAGCTTCTAAACAACTGTGAAGCTACTCCTCTTATTCCATATCTTTCAAGCACATTGATAAGCTCATCATGAGGCACAGTATCGAACGCCTTGGCAAGGTCCAGAAATACAGTTAAACATTTTTTTTTTGAGTTCAGATTATCCACGACTTCAGTTAGCAATTTGTGCATGGCGTCCTCGGTACTACACCCATTCAGAAATCCGAATTGGTTTGTCGACAGCACGTTATTGTTTTTAAAAAAGCTAATTATTCTGGTTTTTATACATTTCTCAAAAAGTTTTGCAAAATTACTAATAAGGCTGATAGGTCGGTAATTATTTATGGAGGTCTTAGTTCCTGTTTTGTGAATTGGCGTAACTATTGAAATTTTAAATTCAGAGGGTATATTTCCTGTTTCTAAGATTAAATTTAATATATGTAATAGGGCGTTGATAATTTCTAAATGTGTGTGCTTTATAATATCGGTTCGTATCCCATCGTAGCCTGGTGAACTATTATTTTTTAAGGTTGGGATATAATTGATTAATTCATTTTTTGTTATGGGATTAAAGTAAATAGAATTTGGCACTGAGGGATCTACTTGTTGCTCAAATTGTGGTGGTGGAATGGCTTTTTCCATTTCTACCCCAATATTAATATAATAGTCATTACAAAAGTTTGAAGCTTCGAGTGAACTACTGAAATTTTGGCCCTCCTTATTTTTTATATTTAGAAAAGTATTGTGGTTTTTCTTATCTTCGTAAGTAGCATCTTTAATTATCTTGTAAAGTTTTTTCATGTCATTCTTATTACTTTCAATTTGCCTTTTATAATAATTATTCTTTTGTTTATGTTTAAGTTTGTTTAAATTGTTTCTGTATTCATTTTATTTTCTAAATAATAATAGATGAGTTACTTACCTGTAGGAGGCAAGTGAGGATCTGGCGGAGGTCCATATGCAGGTCTTGGCGGAGGATCATACGCAGATCTCGGCGGAGGATCATATGCAGATCTCGGCGGAGGATCGTACGCAGATCTCGGCGGAGGATCATAAGCATGATACGGTGCAGGTGGTGGCGGCGGTGGTTGTGGTGGGCCTCTATAATAATCGGATGGATGTGGTGGCATCAGGGGCGGTATATTTCCTCCATGATGATGGGTTTGCACATTTCCACGTGGAGGATATCTGGAGCTTTCATTGTACGACGGAGGCGGAGTTCGATCTCGCTGATTTCTGTTCTGAGGTCCGGCCGATTTACCACGACCTCGGTTGTTATTGAAGTTACCGCGACCGACGGCGCGACCACCTAAAATATACATAACAGATTTATCGTTTTTGAAATCTCTCAAGCTAGAAGATTTTATTAATTTGCATTGCAGTTGCCGAACAAATCGTGAAGCTGAGGCTCAGAAATAGAATTATGATACATATACTTACGTTGAAATTTTTGTGTTGGATTAGAAGCCGAAGACTGGCCTTTATTTTCAGAATTATTGTCTTTCGATGTTTTCGGTGCAGTTTGTTGGAACTCGGCCTTATGAGTGTACTCCAAGAATTTGTACTCCTTTTTCAAGGATTTGGATTGAGACTCAAACAGCTCCCTGATTTTTTTGCCGTTAATTTTCAAATTAAACAGTTCCTGTTTGGTTTTGTTAATTTCTTGTGGCGTAATTTCGACGTCTCTGCCGAGTTTTTTGTTCAAATCGGCCGCTTCTTGGAAAACTTTTTTCATCTCTTCGTGTTCGCGTAAGAGATTTTCCAAACCGGTGAGTTTGACTAGGTCGGCGTTGGAACCCAAATGCTTTTCTCTGTAAACAAAAACTTGAACAATTCCATATTTTATCAACTAAACAATTTACTTACTGTTCTTTTAAATATCTGATATATTCAGCATACGAATCGCTATAAGCCGTAATAGCATTATTGCACAGGAAGTGTGCAAACTTAGCATTGCATCTAACAATAGATTTTAGTTCGTTTTCTAGCTGTGTCTTTCTTTCCTCAATTTCTCTCATAACTACTCTGCCTCTTTGGATACCTTCCTCCCTTGTATCGATAGTCTTCGAGATTGTGTCATCTTTTTGTTGCTTCTGTTCTTTTTTCGTCATATAATAGACGTGCATATGGACTTTGTAGCTATGCGAACATTTCTGGCAACTTTGATTGCCATTCATAGCCGCGCATGACATCAATTCTGCACTGCCCATGATGTCTCTGGGTACGTTGGTGAGGAAGCAGGGATCATGACATCTGGTTCTATAGTGCCATTCCTTTTTTTCGCCAACCTACAATTTTTATTCATTATAAAAAAGTGTGATCGAATCAATAAAATAAAAATGTATTTGTAGAAAGTTGTAGAATCGATAACTTTCTTGGTTGTCAAACAGGAAGCTTAAGGAAAATTTTCAAGATTCTAGACATTTTACACTGAACGTACAAAGTTAGTAAAACGTGAGTTAGTTGTGTCAAATAATATTATTCGCGAACGATTTGGAGTGGTTACTTCTAAGGATTGCCAATTATTGCAAAATGGGTAGTTCATTCATTCTTCTGGTCTATTATTTACCGGTTTTCTATTAAAACTGCTCTGCATACTCCCTTACTAACCATTCCAAGCAATTTTATATCCCATTTCCCCCCTATTTTAATCATGTTGACCCGAATTCTTGTTTCATTTCTTAGAATTTATGGACACCCGGCAGAGTATTACCATTGTTTACTATTATACAAAGCAATAACTACTGAGCTCCGAAGCGCAGTGAAGAATGGATTAGCAAATACGCGTATTTAAAATTGCTCATTTTTACTGCGATTCAGCCCATCGTCCAAACTATAATGTTCTGAATCGCAGTAAATGTTGGCAATAATATAAACACGCGTTGGCCATTGTTTACTGCATTACAACTACTTACTGGAATTTCATGTCAGAATGTTGCTTTTAAAAAAAGAAAACTTGCAACGACCATTAAAGAGAAAAGGTAAGATCCAAAATGAAACAAACAACATGCAACAGTACAAATTCTAATTGATTTCATAGGTTTAGGTTTTTAGGTATTATCCTGTAACACTTAAAAATTATATTATTTGGCATTTGGCATATTTTCCGCAATGCTTATGTTCCTAAATTTCGTTTGCGCTTCTTGGTAATTGCCACTTCCTGATTCGAAGGTCTTCCCTACTGAATTCGATTAGCTCCAGAAGTAAGGCCAGATCAATGGTGGCATTGCACTCTTCATCCCGCATTCTGGAGTCGTTTCCTATCTTTAACCTTTTCAAAACTATTATGTTAATATTTGAATACTTTCCGATAAATATATCTTTTTGCAGAGGAGTAAGTGTAACGCACAATCCAATTAGTGCAAAGTGCAAGTCTTGATACTAAACTCGGTAATCCACCTACCACACCAAGCACTATTCTCTTCATGAAGATCTGAAGGTGTCTTATCTTCTTAACCCTTTAATAATATCCTTAGCCCCACAAACATCAAAACCGTTTTCAGTTGAATTGAATTGAAACTGGTGTAGTTTTCTACCAGAAAAACTACAGATATCAGTTAAAATATGTTTATAATCCATTGATTCCATTGAAACAGAAAATTATATAAACGAGAGTACTACTAATGATGAATAGGAATAGCATATAAATATGAAAGCTGTCTAACAAATAAGTTAAAATAATTCCTTTTTCGAGAAGTCCCTAAATTAACTAGATGACAAGTTATAGCCGCAAGGCGAGGCTGCGCTGTAATGTAGTAAGCAATGGCCAATAGCAACACGCGTTTGTATTATTGTCAACATTTACTCAGTACATTATAGTTTGGGCGATGTGCTAAATCGCAGTAAACATTGGCAATATATTGCCGCGTATTTGTTAATCCATTCTCCACTGCGCTTCGGAGCATATAGTTGCTCTTTATTATAGTAAACAATGGTAATACGCCACCCGGCACCCGTTGTTCAATCAGTTGCGTCACAAATTGAGGCCCGAATTCATCAAAAACGCTGAAATCGCCGTTTTCGTTAAAGTCGTTCATCTTAAACGACGAAAATTTAAACGCTGTTTTGTTCTGCGGTATATACAATATGTGTAATGTGTTTTTCAGCTGCAGTTTAACGAAACGGCGTTCAAAAAAAAGACGAGAAAATGTAGGTTATGTACGTGAAGTTTCACTCAAAATTTATTGTTGCTGGTGTTATGACAAGAAAATTTGTATTGTTATTGTTGATTGGGGAAGTCCTAGTTGGGTCCCAATTCTAGCAGGTATATTCAATTATGGTCCAGTTGGGTCCGGCCTAGGGCCTAATTGGGTCCACAATAATATTTTCCTACAATCGCCCTAGAAAGCAGGCTTTGTCGATTAGATTTGTGATCGCAAAGTAGGCGTTTCCTGATGACCTTTACTTTGCCGCTCTAGAGCGACAAAGTACTAAAAACGCTCGCTTGTAAATTTTGTATTTTCCCAACTTTTATTCCCACTTTTTTTTTCCCCGACCATTTTTTTTCACGACTTTTTTTTTCACGACCTTTTTTTTTCCCGACTATTTCTTTTCCCGGCAATTTTTTTTTTCCGACTTTTTTTTTCCCGACTTTTTTTTTTCCCGACTTTTTTTTTCTCGTTTTTTTTTTTCTCGACATTTTTTCTTCCCGGCCAATTTTTTTCCCGACCGACTTTTTTTTTTCACGACCATTTTTTTTTCCCGATCATTTTTTTTCTCTACATTTTTTTTCCCGACAATTTTTTTTCCCGACCATTTTTTTTCCCGACTTTTTTTTTCCCGGCTATTTTTTTTTCCCGACAATTTTTTTTCCCGACCGACTTTTTTTTTCCCGACTTTTTTTTTCCCGACTCTTTTTTTCACGACCATTTTTTTTTCCCCGACCTTTTTTTTTCTCGAGCATTTTTCTTCCCGACTTTTTTTTTCCCGACAATTTTTTTTCCCGACCATTTTTTTTCCCGACCATTTTTTTTCCCGACAATTTGTTTTTCCCCGACAATTTGAAAAAACTTTTTTTTTCCCAATTTTTTTTTCACATTTTTTTTTCCCGACTTTTTTTGCCCGACTTTTTTTTTCCCGACTTTTTTTTTCTCGATTTTTTTTCCGAATTTCTTTTTTCCCAATTTTTTTTTTCGCATTTTTTTTTTCCGACTTTCTTTTTCCCCGACAGAAATAAACTGGTTTGTTTCAATTATTTTTCTGTTAAATGCGATTGTAGAAAAAATCATGTGTGTATTACGAGCGAAAAGTGCCTTTGCCAATCTCAAGATATTCTTTCGATCAGCAAAGTACCACTTTGCGCTCTTAATACACAAATAGCTATTAAATAATTGAATAAAACATTAAGGAAATGAACCAATAAAATTACTAGAATTTTTCGCCAATAACCACGCCACTGTGCTGTCGTTCAGGCTCTAACCAATAGAATCATGTCTCTGAATAATCACGCCTCTCCACATCCAATTTTTTTCTATTTCAAAATACTACACATGCCCATATAGCAAAAAAAAAATGTCACCTACTTGTTTATTACTGTTTCCATCAAGTTTGGCAAAGCCGTTCTATTGCAGTTCGCCATTTAGCTAGCCAGACAATAGATAAGTTAGAAAAATGAAATGTTCGCTACTTTCAAGTGAGAAAGGAAAATCGCTGTTACTGATTAACGGGTACAAATTTTGCTTCCGAAAGACTTGAACGGTGGTGTAAAAAGGTGGATATGTACATGCAAAAAATCATTTTGCAAAGCCTTTGTGAAAACAACAGGGGAAAACCTCAAAATCGATCCCGATTTTATTGAATTTTTCTGCACTTGATTACCTGATGAAGTAAGTAGGCTAGACCCCACTCTGAGATTGACGAGTTTCACTTCGTTTAACTCATTAATCTTTTCTTACTTTTAGCATCATTTATAAAGATTAAGTCTCCCTTCTACTTCCAGGTAGCACTGATGATGACCTAAGGCCGAAAACGCTCTGCACTGATTTTGAATAATTAAATATTTGCACGAAAATACACACTTTCATTCCTCCTCTTTTATAATAATGTCCAAACATCACACACAGAATTAAGATTAGGCTTTCATGCGTTATTTCATCTACAAGCGAGTTATGGACACCCTATACACGGCCTCCTATGATGAAATGTAACGAAAATCCGACTTCAAGCAACCCACACTATTAAAACTGCTGACTATACATTTATAGAATTTTTAATACCTATTTAGAAGTATCAGTCGTTCTAGTGACTAAACGTATGTCCTTTGTTGAACCCACAAATAAAATTAAGTTCGAATTTCCTATTTGTACATGAAATTGACGTATTAACAATCGACGTTCGTTTTCTATTTCATCTGATTCGTGTTGTATGATAAATAAGGATGGGGTTATTCTAAATGGGTATTAAAAATATTATACAGGGTGGAGCACGAAAAACTTCCCACCCAGAGTTTTTCAGGTGTTAGGTGTCAAAAATCGCTCAGACACGTCAATTTCTGTTTTTTGAGGACACATTTTATTGGTATTTTCACCCCCTACCGGTCAACCCCTAAGTGGGAGTAACAGGTACCCCCAAAATTTTAAATGGAAAGAGGGGTCGAGTGATATGTCATTTGGTAGCTATTTTCGTTAGGATTATATCCCCGAACTTTTAAGTTGCTAGTTTTTACCCTGTCGAAATGGCGACATGTCAAAATTAGGATAAATGCTTTTTTTTCGATAATCTAAATTGTATAGTTTTTACCTATCACATCTCATCTATGCGTAGGTAACAGGTAAAAAAAAACCACACAGCATTTTTCCATTGATTTTTCATAACTTTGACAAGTCACCATTTCGACAGGGTAAATAGTAGCAACTTGAAACTTCAGGGATATAATCCTAATGAAAATAGCTATCAAATGACGTATCACTCGACCCCCCTTTTCATTTGAAATTTTGGGGTACAGGGTGATCTATTATAAATGCAGCCCCCTGCTAACTTTTTCATTTGACGGTTTTGACAGAAGTGTCAAATACAAAAGTTTCAAGAAATTGTCAAAAGTTTTTAACTAAGTCAGTTTCAGGCATACAGGGTGCGTCAAAAAAGTTCAGCAGTGTGAAGTTATATTTTTTTAAATGGAACACCCTGTATATTGTGCGCCTGTTTGTTAGTCCCCTTTAACTTGATTTCAACGATATATGGTTTGATATGTTTATCCTTCAGTTTATCTCCAATAGTTATAGGGAAAAACGCGAAAATTCCTTCCTAGGTCTCTCATGTTATTTTTTTTTAAATAATAATAATAGCTTAG